AGAATAACTTCATATGTGACTGTAAATGTAACCTTTACAATGAAAAACAGAGGTCTGGGCTGCCATCATTCTCTTCAGTTTCTACTGTATACCCTTGATGGAGTCAACCTTAAGCCATCAAAAGCAATCTCAGTGGAGTCGTGGCCTTTTGTTATGAAGTCAAAGTCAAGTGTCAAGGCTTTTCAGTTTTTTTTTCCTCTGACTCAGTTGCCAAGATTTCTTAAATGATTACATTCATTTTTTATACACAAAGTAGAAGATATATTTTCAAACAGATTAAAGTTTTATGTGGTTTGTATTTCTATAGAAATGGTGAGCTGCTTGTCAAGTCAGTTTCCTTCTTCCAAGCCTTCCAAGCCTTTTCCAGGCTTTCTCCCAAACCCACTGCCTAGGTTAAATTGTTCACTCTTCTGAAATAGTCCTCATGACTAGTGGAATTTGTCTCTGGAAGTTGATTATTGCATCCCCTCCCGTAATTCAGCACAGTCACTCAATTTGTCAGAAAAAGGCCCCGACAGTCAGCCTAATTATATTGGTTGTGACAAAGGAGTTGTCTTACAAGAACCAGGCGCATCCATTCACCCGTAAAGGCTTGCTGTATAATAATGCAGCCAATATAGCTGGCAGAAATATGCAGATTTTGGTGTCAAAGCACATCATCCCATTAAGAAAGTAGATGCTTTGAAGCATTGCTGTACATTTGACTTGTTGAAAGTGTTGAGAACATGCCAAGCTGCTACTTGCAGTCACATGTCATGGAAGCAGTTATGACAAAGACATGTTAATGCTCTATATTTATGGGTGTAGATAAAAAAAAAAAAAACACTTTTGTATGAGTTATTTGGTAATATCACCACATAAGATTGTGTAAGTTTGCCTTTGTTTTTGTAAATGGTCAAAGTGTGAAATTGATTCACAACCACAAGATATGAGTTGCACTTTTCTTCCAAACCACTCTTCTTACTACAGATAAGAACAAAAGATTAGTTCATCCATCATTTACCTGTCTTAAAATGATCTTCTCTGAATCTCCTGGCATCTCTAAATTAACACTGCATATTGCAGAAACTCAAGGAGATACTATCATCCTCAATGTCTGATTTGCCTCTGGTTGAATTTAAAACACTATGCTATATCATTCTGGTGTAGATTTTTTCTTTCAACATCCATGATGTCTGTATCTGACTGCTTCCAATCACCTTTTTATTTTCTCTTTACAGTTTTCTGGTGATTGTCTCATAGATTTTTAAAAGATCTTATTTCCTTATATTCTTTTTTCCTTTCACAGGGATGCATAGTGGGACATTTGGAAGCAGTGTTGTCAGGCAGCAACATCCCAGCCTGTTCTCTGTCTGCATTTGGTCACATTTATTCTTTGGGTGTCAACGACATCTCACAATATTAAAATGCTTTAATATTGTGATATTGTCATCAAAGTGAGGTGCGACTTGCAAAAATGCTGTTTAAATGCTATTCATTTGTCACTTTCAACTGTGATGCCTAGAATATTTTACCACCTCATCACTTGCTTTTGTCAGAATTTTCACTTATGGAGTCCAAGACAGGTCCACTAAGTTAGCAGATTCTGAACGGTATCCCCTCACAGACGGTGATATTGGCCAGGGTCTCATTTATAGAGTAATATGTAAAGGGATTTTGTCGAAGCTAAATTAAGTTTTACCTCGCAACATATATACTTGTCCTCTTAATCATATTCTCAAGGCCTATTTGATTGATAATCTAGAAATGTGTCTGGGAAAGCACTCAGTTCTGTTTTTCAAACTGGAGTTTTGAGACAAAAGAACTAGTCATACTAATTGTAGTCCCTACCCCTTTTATTTTTTTTCCCAACAGAAAGTAGCTGTGACAGTCCTCTTGCACTAAGTCTTATTGATTTCCCCGTTTCCTTTAAAGATTGTGTGGAGTGACTCAATGTGGCTTTGCATTTTAATACCACATTTGTTTACTTTACTTTAGGGAGACTTGAGGCTCAAGGTGATGCAAAGAACATTAAAGATGTAGCTAACCACTGCAAAGCAGCACAGCTATTAACACAGTATGTGAGATAACAAGTGAAATATGTCTTTAAATTATGAAATATAAAACCATTTATTGAATTTGTACAATCGTAGTATCAGTGTGTAATCTTCCATTTTTAAAATAACTTAAGATACAACAGATATGGATTTTTTAAAAATATCATTACAGATATGTGTTTCATTTTATAATAGCATTCATGAACTAAGGTTCATATTTCTCATTTTATTCTGCTTCAATTATTGTTGATTATTCTTAGGCTGCATTTTGGATAACCTTTAAAAAATGTAAAGCAAATGTGAAAAAGTTGGTGACATTTCAGTTAGATTTTGATTTATACTTTTCATTGATCAAGGAGCAAGCTACATCCATAAGATGAAGTCTGAATGTTTTTAAAATTTCTGAAAGTAATTATCAAATATACTGGGCTGTGGGTGGAAAAGCACTAGTGTTACCAGGAATATGATATGTAGCAAAGAACAAATTAGTTGTCTGTGAGAAAAGCAGCATTATCATTGGATCATACTTCAAAGAGGCCTGTTGGGTTGTTCATGTGCTGTATGGGGAGGTATGACCCGAGAGGTAGAGACACAAATAGGTCAGTCAGTTACGATGGACACAAACTATAATCCATGACCACAGCTGTCTTTGAGGGCTTGCCAGTGTGGGCCTTACCTGACAGGCACAATAAACCCAAAAAGATCTACCTGCTGAAAGCTGTGCTTTTTGAGCAGCATCAAACATCCACGTGGATATGGTCTATGTCAGCTGTACACCATGTTTGCCTTCATGTGTGCATGTTTACGTGTTTGTTGCTTGCGGGGAAAATGGCATATATGACCGAATGTCAGTTTACAGCTCCAGTGCAGTGTAGCAGACAGCTGTGCCAGACGCAGTTCTGTGGATCACCATGAGGGCCCTTTATTTAGGTCACATTCTGTGCTTCAGTAGCCAACAGAAAGGATCTCTGTCTACTGAAATGAATACCTTTAGCTGGACATAACCCTGCAAGAAGTGTATGTTTAACTGATATGTTTACTTTGAGTTCCTTCTTGTGGGTCTGTTGTTGAGACCGTGCTGCTTAATATTGGTATTGGATATAATCCCGTGTTAATATTAGCAGTAAAAGTGCATGCATAATTTCTGAGTTTTCAACTAATCGAACAAGAAAATAATAAATGGACCTCAATATCTTGCTTTTGACCTACACCCTGTCCTCTACTTGCATAAAGGTACACTTCCTCCGTTTTTATCCTTCTTGTCCTCCATTTTTTCCCCCACATTTTGTTTATCTACAAAACAGTCTGTGCTGTATTATAAATCGTGTAATGATTTGCACTCTCAGGCTCAGCCGTTCTGCTGTCAGTGTGCTACACTGAGGTGCATGGGGTTTTATTTTTGCTTTGCTGCTTTTACTTGCAGTCTATTAAAAACTGTGTGGATTCAGCAACTAGCCATCCTCAGATGAGTAAAAAAAGTAGTTTAAGGGGTGCTGATGGATGTATTTGTTTTCATGACAGGAAAAGGTCATTTATTACAGTTGATACTTGAAGCCCAGAAGCTATTTGTTGGGTCCGATAGTTTGCCATGTAAAGAACTAAAGGTTTAGAGGGAAAGTCCACAAACATAATTCATGTTTGTGGACATGTGTGTGCATGAATTCACTGTGTACAGGTGTACTGTAAGCCTAAAAATAAATGCTCTTTTTGACCCAGTTTTTTCGTTTAGTGTTCTGTAAAAGCCCTGGATTAAAAGCCTGAGACTCTGGGTAGTTTGTGTGAGCTTCTCTTGCAGAATTAAAACAATCTGTTCACTGCACTGGATCTGATGGTTGCACTGGGTACGTGTCCACTGCAACTATCAGTGGCTTGGTGGACAAAAGAAAAAAAAAGATGAGTTTTTAACCAATAAGAATTGTTTAAGACCTACTTCCTGTTTGTTTTTAAGATAAAGACCTGTATTAAGCTTGTATTAATTTCTTCATTAGAAACACTTGTTTAATTTCTCCTTAACACAAATGTCAGCTAAACCATTCACATGGCAGAAACTTAATGCAACATTGTAGTGATCTCTAATATTTGGGTGTAATAAAATAAATTAAAATTAAAAAAAATAAAATAAAAAAAATTACTAATGTTTCATGTATTTAGGTGTCTGTCAATCTTTGACCTTTGTCACTTTCATAAAGTTTATTCCAGCCCTGCTTATCACCTGAGTTTTTAATTTGGCATGACACTCGAAGATAATCACTTATACAGCAATTTTATGACAACTGGAGGTAACAGTTACTTGGTTGTGGTATAAAATGCCACTGCTTGCCTGGCAAATGCATATCACCACCTCTTCAAATTTTTAAAACTGCTATACCCATTTGTTTGTGGTCTTTTTTTTATTATTTTTTATTACACTGTTGTGTAATCTGACAATATCCTTGAACAAATAGTTTATATCTGGCTTTTTTTTTTCTGGTAATTTCAAGCCAAACACAGACAAAATGTACACAGAAGCTTGACGACAGATTTGAGTGTCAGCGGCATTGTAGCTTGTTGTTTCTAAATTTAGAGTGCTTATATGTATGGTTTTAAAGGACAAACATAAAGCAGTGACTGAGATGAATAGGTTCAGCATCAAATGTTTTCATCTGCATTTCAGGGCCATGAGAAACTTTCTCCAAAATGAAGCAGATGCTATAATGTGCTTGAGTGTACAATAATGTTACAAATATATAGTTCTCATCATGCTTAAATAGGAGGCAACCTGATTTCTTATGTTACTTCAGGGGGTTTCTGCTCTCACCTGGTGAAACCTCTCCAGGAAGCAGGATATATAGTTGTCTTCTATTATTGCAGTAAGAAATGTTATGAATGATAGAGAGTCAGCATCAACATATTTATAATTCTCTTTTCTGTCTTTCTCTTCCTGTTTGTCTGTTTTATTTCATGGATGCGTCTTTCTTTGTAGAGCTAGATTTGGGGCCTGTGCAGACTTTCTGCAGAAGCAGTCGGGTGCACAAGCCAACCGGGCCAAAATGACCATGAAAGGCCTGTCCAACAGTCGCAGTCACCACACAGTGACCTGCGACCCATCTTATGACTCCATGACTCTGGGGCACGCCGACCGTCGGTCCTACTTCCTCAACCAAGGGGAAGCTCATCCCACTGAAAACCCCTGCTACACACAGCGGAACGCCTTCCAGACTGAGTGCAGTGCCTATCCTGACCTGACCAGCTGCACTTTCCCTCGCAGACATTACAGCTCCCAGCATGAGCTAAAGGAAGAGTGCAGCGCCATGGTGCCTTACACAGGGCCTACAGGGAGCTGTAAGGGAAGCGGAGGGAACACCAACCGCATACCGTCAAACTTGCTCGAGCAATTTGAGACCCAAGCTCCATTGAGACGTGAAGGCTACCACACTCTGCAATACAAGCATACAGCATTGGAGCACCAACGCAGTGACAGCCCTGGTCGAATTCGCCACCTTGTACATTCTGTGCAGAAGCTTTTCACCAAGTCCCACTCTCTGGAGGGGCCTTCAGGCTCTGGAGGAGGTGGGAGTGGGAAGATAAATGGCACCAAATCCAGCCCAGATGATCCTCCCTCATGCTCTGGGACCCTCAAGCACAGCAAGCGTAGTAAGAGCAAAGACCGCTCCAAGTCAGAACCGAAGATGCGTACAACAACATCAGGGTATTGGAGCTCAGATGACACGCTTGACCGAGAGGTGTGTCTGTACCATCACCACCTCGGGGGTGGAATTGGTTCCATGCCTTCAGGGGTTATGACTATTGGACGCCACCCAGATAAATCCCAGTCACAATACTTTATGGAGTCCTACAACACCATCAGCGCCCAGTCACTCAAGACCTCACGCAGCAACAACGATGTCAAGTGCTCTACATGCTCGGGTAGCAGCAGCGGAGGTCTGCCGCTGATGAGTGCCCTCGATGGACAAGTCCAGCTGAAGAAGAGCTCATGGTCCTCTACGCTGACAGTGAGCAGAGCGAGGGAGGTGTACCAAAAGGCCTCCGTCAATCTAGATAAAGCTCTCGTCAAAGCCGAGCCAGGACGCACTTGCCATTTCTTACAGGTAGGATTGTAGCATCATCACCATCTCTTGCATGTCATGCTTCAAATGTCATCTGTGGCCCGCTACTACTCTATGCTTCTGTTTTTATTCCCGCATGGATATGCATTTGTTCATGTCTGTAGGAGTTGAATGAATGATTCATCCTGTCAAATCTTGATCATTGTCTTGTGTTTTGTCTTTTGTATACTCATAAAACATTCTTGAAAAACCATACCATGGCATCTCCTCTTTTGTGTTGATGTGCACTTAATTTTAGTTTTCTAAGTTTTTATAGGCTTATGCTGTGACATGTTTATGGACTAGGGACAAGATCAAGTTCTTCTGTAGTTTCTTCTACTGTTTCTTCTGTACAACAATTGCAATTGCAGTATACAGTAGAGTGAACACTTAGAGTGCAAATGTAATCTTTTCTGAGTGGCACACATTCGTGTCAAACTACATTTATTCTGCTGTCAAGATCATGCTTGGTCTGGTCTTAGCAGCAGTCATGAGATTGCGTGTTTCAGTCAGTGTGGTGCCGCTGCAAGATCAGAGCGAGCAGGAAGTTCAGCAGACAGAAGCTGAAAGTAAACTGCCCCAGTCCCAAAGCTCAGTGGTCACACAGCAACACAGAGAAACATGCATACTGACACTGCAACGTTGCCGGGTCACGCATATGTTAGGGGTGTTTTTCTGCTTGCAGAAGAATTTTCAAGATTTTCAGTTTCTTGCAAAAGTATGCGTATCTCCTTAATGTATTTAAAATTATTTTAAATACAATAGTCATAAAATCATATTTAAATGCACAGAAAAATTAACAAATAGAAAATAAATTTACTGTTTTGAATAAAATAAGTTACAAAAATATAGTGTACGTTTGTGTCCAGGTCTTTGTCCAGGTCCACAAAGTATTGACTTTGTGGACATGGCTAACTAAAACAGCTGCTGCTCTACTGGGTTATGTCCTGACCATTTTACCACATCTGCAGACTGATTTATTTATTTATTTATTCTATTTTTCTAGCAGAATTGTTCAAGCTCAATCAAATAAGAGCTAAATATGCTCTAAACGTAATCATTCTACTTTAGCTTGGGCTGTATGCTCCAGTCTGAATCATTTTGCAGTAGTTACCATATTTTTCGTCCAGGACTCTCCATCCATCTTCCAATCAACTCTTACCAACCTTCCTCTCCTGCTGACAGAAAATATACTTCTCTTATTGATCATTTTCTTGTCCAGACTGCAGACTGTCCTGTCAGTATAGGTGGATACCTAGGCTCATGTAGATTTATGCTTTTTACCCCAACGTAAGATGTTTTATATCCTAAACCTGCTTTAAAATGTCCTTCCTGTTCACAGTTGTGCACTACTTTGTTTTGGTTCATTTTATGTTTCTGGATGCAGGAGGACAAAATGCTATAAAGTTCAAAGTGTAAAGTATTTTATTCCATCTTGTGCAGTTGGTTAAAATGTACTTTTTAGAAATGTTGACAGATAGTACAAACGGCGTATCAGTGTGCACAGTTCATGCCTGTGTGTGCATACGCTACAAAAAACAAGGTAAATAAGGCCAGCAGAGAAAAGCATGAGTGAAAAGGACAGAGTGGGGGAAAGCAAAGGCAGTGTGCGTTCTCTCTGGCCATGCATTTTAGCATCCTGGAAAGCAGACTGAGCTGATTAAGGAAGGATGTTGTCATTGCAACGTGGCAACAATTCTTTCAAACACAAAAAGCTTTTTTTTTTGTTTTTCTTTGTCTTCAAAGTGAATCTAATCACTTAGTGGGAGCATGAAATATTTATCAGTGTTTTTATACAAAAAAAGCATACTGGAAGCTAATGTTTGCAAGAAAATCAAAATCCAGCATATTACAAGTGCTTTATTTTATAAAGTGCAAATCAATAAATAAAAAAAATTAAGCATGCCCTTATTTCACGCACCTCTTTTCACAGTAGTGCAAACGTGTTTTTTTTTTTTTTTTTAACCACTCTGTAGTTGGCCCTGACATTAAGGTCAGCTCGGTTTCCTAGCTACGCAGTTGTCCATTGAATGATTTCCCTGCACTTTTTTTCCTCACTCTGTATCTCATTTCTTTCACTTCAGAGCTGGTGCCCTAAAAGCCACTCACATTGGGAGTGCAGTGGTTGTGTCGAACAAAACCCCCTTTGTTTTTCCCCTCCTCTTTCCATCTCTGCTGTCTTTGACTCGCTCTCTTTTAGATTATGCCAGCTGGGAGATGGGTTTTCCTTTTATGTATTTTTTTTTTTTACCTTCATTAGTGAGTGTGAAAAGCCAGGAGAGCAGGCAGAGGCCAGGGTTTACAGCGGTATTCTGTCAAAACAATTAATTTTCCCACGCTTGATATGCAGCACGCATCATGGGACGGACAAAAGAAGGCCATCGGCATTGTGAGATTAATGGTAGGATCAAGACAGGCCGGTTTGGAATATATTCTGATCTTGTTGGATAAATTTGTGGATCTGCTTGTGGGAAGGATGTTAAATTCTTTTTTTCCTTTTGTTTTACTAATCTCACCTCATCTCTGCAGGTGCCTCAGGATGACTGGAGCGGATTCTCTCCAGTGGAGAAGGATGATGAGATCCCTTGCCGGCGAATGCGCAGTGGCAGCTACATCAAGGCCATGGCAGAGGAGGATAGCGGCGACTCGGATTGCAGCCCTAAGCCCTCGCCCAAGGTCCAGGCACGGCGAGCCAGCTACCTGAAGGCCACACAGCCTTCTCTTACTGAAATGACCACGCTCAAGTGAGTGTACGCTATAAATGATTTGGTCATTTTTGGGACGGCTTTTTTTTGTTTTCACTCAAAATATTAAAGGGTGGTGAAAGTCAGCATGAGAAATTGGTAATATTTTTAGAGCCAGTAAAACATCATCTAGTTAATTTTTCAACTGAATTTGGACTTGGTCAGGTAGTGCAGACTGAGTATCAACCCAATTTCAAACATCCCAGCAGCCAATGAAATAGAAGGCCTTTGCTTTCGATTTCATTTTTTTGCCTGGTTTGCCAAAAGGTTTAACACTCTTTTTGCTTTGACAAATTATACCATTTGTGAGGCACAATACTTAATCCCTTATTGTTTGAAGGTATAACTTTCTAGAACAGACTGCTTATGATTTTGCAGTCATTGTGATTCTTAAAAGGGGGAAACAAATAAAACAGTTCTTTGAAATCATTGACAAAGACATTAACAATGCTCATGCCTTGTTTGAGAGGGTTGTCAGATTAGCAAACTCTCTCCTTTGACGGTAGCATCTGAACTTCACTCTACCAGGTCTTGTAATAAATTTACTAGCTTTTTCACTGAGAAAATAAAGTAGATGCCTGATCTGAACATCTTCATTAATCCCAGCACCAACGATGTGAGCAGTCAAAACAAATTCAGAGAAAATTGCACTATTCTACCAACTCCGCCATAAAAACTTAGAGGAAATTATCCACCGATTAAGCTCCTACTGCTGCTGTCTTCAAAGGCTACCCAAAGGTTTTCCTAAGAAAGGTCTTCCTGTTATTGCATCTGATCTGACTGAAATAGTAAACTCATCCCTCTCACCAAATGTTTTACTCCAGGTTTTAAAAACATAAGTTATCAAATCACTGATAAAAAAAGAACAATCTGGGCAAGTCATTTTGCAGAATTACAGGTCAATCTTCAACCCACCATTCATCTGCAAGGTTTTTTGAAAAAGCTGTTTCAAATGTTAAATGTCAGTCCGGTGTGTACTGACACTGCCCTTGGCAACGTGTTCAGTAAGATTCACATAAATGCAGACTGTGGAAGAACCACAGCGCTGGTTCTGTTGAACCTCAGTGCAACATTCAACACTGTTAACCATGATATATTATTGAAATGACTGGAGTTGAGTAGCACTCTCTGGCAGAATATTTGACTGGCTTCAGTCTTACCTAAAGAATAGAGATTTCTTCATGTCAACATGTATCATTTTACCAGAACTAGCAAAAATCACACCCAGGGAGCCTCAGAGAATATATGCATATTTCTAGTAGCACAGAATATACCAACTAGTAGAAACCATTTAGTTCTGTCACCAACATAGGTTGTGTGATTTCTGTAACACCTTCTCATTACAGCTCTGATGCAATTCAGTTTTTTTTGTATCTTTTCATTTCAAGTTACATTTAAATTTCATTTCAAATGCACTGTGAACAGACCAAGCCATCATTTAAATGGATCCCTATTTGTGTGCAGAAATCTTTCTGAAACTAATTACATCGCTGAAAAATCTGCTGTACTTCAGGAATGTTGTCAATTTTGTTTTCTATCTGAAAGCAGATTAAGAGCTGAGTGTTATTAATGGGTAATCAATTAATGATATTGTTAGGTAAGGTGTTTGCTTCTCAGTGTTGCTTTTAATCCTCACAGCACTAATTCAGAAATGTAAGTCTATCAAGGACATCTATAAAAGTCTTGAAGTGCAAATATCTGAAAGCACTGTGGAGACTACAACAAAAGAAAACTTTTTGTATTTTTAAGAAGTTTAAGGATAAATGTATTAAAGTACTCCATGTATGCCAAGTTTGGTTTTAAGAAGAGCAAAAGTCTTTTTCATTGTTTGTGGCTGAAAGTGATTTTATATGATATTAAGAAAATTGCGGAAATGACCAATATTCGATGGCCTTATGAAGCATTTACTCTTGGACTGGTTGCTTTGCAAACAGCAGCCAATAGTATGTCAAGTACTGTAGCATTGTGCCCAGGTATTTGAGTTTCCAAAGCTCTATTTTCTGTTGAATACAGCTTACAAATAAGTGAGTTCATAACTCAATCATAAAAAGGACGTTTCTAACCGCCTGTATATAAACGGTTTATATACAGGCTTGAGGTAGAAAAATATATTCAAGTTTCAAGGTTATTCCATACCATTAAACAAATCTAGTTCTTATAAATATTTTAAAGCATTCATTAAGTCCTAGACACTAGATCTTTATCTTTCACTAAATGGAGGTATTTTACTTTATACTTAACATAAACAGAGAAAGAAAGGAGGACACATTTCTTGTTTTGAAGCATGGGGCTGTGACTGATTAGCTGTGTAATACTTGGAGATGAGAAAAACACAAGTGTATGCTCAGTCATTGTTCATGGTTGCACAAACACCAGCATGCAAAGACACACATTCTTATATAAGAACATGTGGCACAGCTTGGGGCCCCACTAATGACTTGAGTGAGGCGCAGGGAATGCCATCATCATTTGATACAATCCAGCGAAACAACCCCAAACTGCAGTGCTGCATTTTGGAGATAGGGAGTGAGTCGGGACCCGCTGACAACTTGTTTTCATACTAAGTCTTTGTGAGCTGGCTCAAGTCTGTTCCACTCTGCAATGATTGAATAATCAGCTTTGTTCGTCCATATGTTTCAAAAGGCAATCTGTGACCATTTTGTCCTTGGTGTGCCTGGAATTGCTCCCAAAAAGTTAGGCAACGTGTTTATTCTATTCTCCTACTTGAATATTTTTGTTGTTGTTCATTTTTTTTATTTCCTTTCTTTTTTTCTTTTTTTTTTACAGAAGAACTGCAAATAAAGAATTTGCAAAGTGGGGAACAGAAGTAGAATGATTTCATCAGACACCTAGAGCTACTCTATTATTTATTGTCGACTATGAAAAACATCTAAATGTCAATTGCTCTGTAGAGAAATCCTTTAGAAATCACTGACCAGTCAGTCTCATGTGTTACAAGTTGGATCTCACTTTTGAAATGTCAAAACAGAGGTCATTGATTCCATAAACAGCCTTCACTGTAATATGGAAAAAGATGTGCAGAACAAAGGCATTGTCAGAATTTTGTTTTTGACTCCATTCCTCTGTGCATCACCCACACCAAGTTTCTGTTATGAATGATTCACAAGTATCTCTGACATTTGAAACATTCGGTGTGACAAATTTGACTCAGTTGAAAGGTATCTAATGTCTCCTGAGTGCAGAAGAATATAGTGGCACAAGGTCGGCAAAACTTCTGTTTTAATTCATTGGATGTTAGTTGTTTTTTTTTTTTTTTGGTTTTTTTTTTACAAAATTGTTGAACCAACTAACAAAGCAAACATGTTATGTACAGACTTTTTTTAAAATTGTTAGCAAGTATATTTTCTTATGTGCAGCTTCTCAGTGAAGTCAGTCCTTTATAAGAGACATTTAAGTGAAATTTCAATAATTACTGAGTTTTAACAGAGCTGCTCGTGTCACAAATAATCTTAACAGATTACATTGAGTGAGGAAGTCTTGCAGTTGGTTTAATTCAAACCTTTTAAATTTGGCCCCTCAAGAGCACTGGCTGTGCATGAAATTGCTTTAAATGTTCATTATGGATTGAGGAGTTATTTTTCATATTTGATATTTCTGGGTTATGACCTGGACATTTTTACTTTTAAGATAAAGGAGGAAAAAGACATGAGCTGTACTTCTAGAATATGTTGAAAAAAATATATTAAAAGAATAAACTATTCTTGAGGTGTTTGATACCTCTTGAGAGAGGGTCAAACAATATGGATGGAAATTTTGCAATTGCTAAATGGGCATTTGACATCCTTATTCCTGCCCCAATAATTTGTCCCTTCAGTTCACCTTTATCCTCCAGTGTTCCATCCAAGGATGACTAATCTGGTTTGCTTTGCTGTGGCAACCAGGCTCTATTTTAAGGAAGAAATGCATAATTGAAGAGATCTGACCTGGAGGCAGAGAGCAGGAGCTGTACAGCATGTTTTTATGTGATGTTCTTAAATACTTAGATAATAAAATGGGAACCAAAAGGAGAGGGAAACGCTGAATATTTGCCTTTATGTTATTAGTATATTTAAGAATCTGATTGACGATCTTCTAAATTTTTGTTTTTGTGAGCTGGCCATGATATGTACGACGAGGAGAACAAGTCTGATGCCTATTTCAATGTCTCCTGATTGATGACTTGTTTGACCCATATTCAGTGACCCAAAACACACAGTTGTTCACACCTATGCAAACAGGCACCACAAATCACGCAGCACAATCAGATTGGAAGCAGGTGGAAGATAAGGAGACACAATTTGTCACCCTAGTGGGTTTTTACATGGCTGAAAGTTGTAGTGTTTCTTTGCTTCAATTCAAAAGTCTGCAAATGAACTCAAACCTAAAGGCACAAGTACAATCATATCCATTTTTTGACATTTATGAAACAGTCTCAATGGTTAAGTGTTTCAGAAAATATTGCTAAGTATCTCAAGGACAGACTAATAATGCTACTGCTATATTGTAGTGTTTTGCTTATTCATTAGATAAGTTTGTCCTGAAGCAGCAGAGCTGGATCATTACATCCTATATAATCAGGTGCACATACTCTCAGCTCGGTAACATAAAATACCATAATTATTTAGCAGTTTTAAAGAAAAGATTCTACCTTATACCCAGTGTTAAATTTATTTCTAAATCCAAAGCATAGTCTGAAAGAAAAAACTGACCACAGTGCAGAAAGTACTGAAGATAATGGAGAATGAATGGGGGTAATTACACATGACACAGGCTTGGGTATTGAATCATAACTAGGCTTTTTGTTCACTAACAACACCCACGGTCACTTTACTGGTCTGTCTGCTGATTCACCTGTATTTATCTGCAACACCGATCTGTCAGTCTCCCCTCCTTTGATTTTTATTCCTCTTAATGCAAAGACAGCAATTATTTTAATATACTGAAGTAAAAGGTTTTCTGGAGTAGCAAAACTGTTCATTCTGTTCAGAAAATGCACTTACTATTTTAAACTGTTAGTTATCGACCAAAATAATAGACAGTGAAGATGACACATTAACCTCTCTTTACATCAAAAAAGCATATTATCAAATTATATTTTTTACTGTGAAAAACATTGTACAGATGGATTCCAATTTAGTTATTTACAGGGGGTGTTTTTGCTCTAAAACCCTTCAAAGTTATGTACTCCCACCCATTTGTCCTGCTTCTACATTGATTTGTTTTGAGTGATGCATTCTCTTTTTCCTCTTCCTTCAGTAACCCGTTTCCCTTCTCTTGTGGCAGGATTTCCACGGAGCACTCGCCCAAGCTGCAGATTCGAAGTCACAGTTACCTGCGGGCGGTGAGCGAGGTTTCCATCAACCGGAGCCTGGACAGCTTGGACCCAGCAGGGCTGCTGGCCTCGCCTAAATTCCGCTCCCGCAATGAGAGCTACATGAGAGCCATGAGCACCATCAGTCAGGTCAGTGGATATCTGGAGGCCTGTATCTTATAGCTCATCCACCATGTCTTGTAAGCTTTTGCAGTGGGAGGAAGTCCTCCAACTGCAGGAGGACTTTCTGCTTTCTGTCTTTGCAATCTTGCAAAGATTAGTATTCAAATTGACTATCTAAATGAAAAAAAAAAAACACCCCCTGGTCTCATACGTCTTCCTTGATTTTCTTTTTCTACTGTCTAAACACATTCTGTGAAACAAAAGAAGCAAATTTGCAGAATCTAAAATAAGGGGTCAAATTTTTTCTGCATGTTTTAAATATATTCAAATACACCAACAAACATGTTATATGTGCATAAAGTTTGTTGTGGTGGCCTTATCAGAATCAAATATCATCAAATACCAAAATATGTTATGATTGGTCTATCAATTCGTAAATGTCACCTTTCAACGTTTCTTTTATCCAGTGCTTTGTGGCATGCTGTAATTCAGGGCCTTTTTCTTTCACAGGTGAGCGAGGTGGAGGTGAACGGGCAAATAGAGGCGGTGTGTGAATCGGTGTTTAGCGAGATGGAGTCGCAGGCGGTGGATGCCCTGGACCTGCCCATGCCCGGCTGCTTCCGGATGCGGAGCCACAGCTACGTGCGTGCCATAGAGAAGGGATGCTCACAGGAGGAGGAAGAGGGCGTCGTCTTGCTACGTGAGAGAGGGGCAGACTCCCCCCCGCGCACTGCCACTACTGTCCGGACCATTCAGAGCAGCACAGGTTGGGGAAACGTTCGTTTTTCACATGCTAACTCATATACATAAATATTCTATAGCCCATTATATATTAATCTGGGTGCAGAGGTTTCTAAATAATACAGCTCGAGAATAAAATTAACCAAGGAAGAAAAGAGTGTTCCAGTTGCATCAAACAAAGACATTTTATTGGCATTTGATTGCACATGGTAGTCCTTACAAAGGCTGTGATCAATCTGCAGCCCATAGTCACACTCTACAACCGTCCTCTATATTGCCATCCACCTGACCCAGTTTCCTTCTTCAGTACAATTAGTTGAATCCAGAACTGTTTCTTTTCCCACGTAGAGAGCTTAACTAAACTCCAAAGCTTGTGGACTGCTGGATCTTATTTTAGCCCCCTTTTGTGCCTCATGGTCTACAGAGCTTGACTTTTCAGTATCTCTATATGCCGGATTGATGCTTAGTAGTCCTGGCATTCAGCACCGAGTGCCTCCATGTTTCAGGCTGCAAAATCCAAACGTCATTTGGGTACATCGCGCGTGTTGAGTCTCTGTCGCTTGATGAGGCCTGGCTTTCCCTTCAGCTCTTATTTAATTATGCCAATTAGACGAGAGCATTTCTCCAAACCAAGCTGACAAGTACACCAGTTGACTCATTAAACACATTCACTGCAAAATGGAACAATGGTGACAAGAAGTAAATTTTTGAGTGTGACAAAAGGTTTAACTCCTCTGCAATTAACTCTTTTCAGGGTTTCAGAGACAATCTCTGCAGTGTAATTCCTTCTTTTCACCACAGTGTCTTGCATAACCCTTGAATGTTTGTGCATTTTATTATGTCATAGTCAAAAAGCTTAGTGTATTTTGTTATGATTATTATTTATTAGGAGAAATTAACATTTAATTATGAAAAGGAAGGAGAATGATGCATGACGTTAAAATATTTGACGAAGAAAATTTGAAAAAGTTTGCATGCATGTGCAGACACTTGAGCATTGTTCTTCTGAGGCTGGAAAACTTTGCCCTCTATTTTGCAAGACTTACCATAGTGTCACCATTAAATTTAGTTTTAGGCTTTGACTGGGCCATTGTAGCTCATGATTATGCTTCTTCAAAATCAGTTTAGATTCACTTTCCTTCACTTTCACAATTATGGTCTATTTTGTGTTTGTCTGTAACACATAATCATAATAAAATACATTGATGTATAAGGCTGCAGTGTGACATGTAAAAATGTCAGCGAAATGAATATCTCGAGAAAGACACTGTATATCAGAAACAGTGCTGGTTAACGTTGCAATTAAAGACAATGATTAATCCAGCTGACTGTCCGGTTGCGTGACTGTAGGTATTGATCTATGGAAGACTGAGATGAAGACACAGACGTTTGCAGTTCCTTCCCAAGAGGAAACAGGAGTTAATGAAAGCCATCTATCAGGGGAGATGCAGTGAGAAACAAAACTCGGTTTTCAACCTACACAGCTGCCGCACCACAAATATACCACAGAGAATCCCTCTTCTTTGCCTCTTTTGCTATTTACTGTCTCTCATATCTTTCACAGTAATATTTTCTCAATTGTAACACAAAGACAACAACTTTAAAGGCCAGCAGAAAAAGCACTCATATCAGTCATAATGGCTACGGAGAAGCAGGCAGTTAAGTGGACATCCATTTTTTTTAGCCTCAGTTTGCCACAAGACAAGAGATTAGTTGGTGGTGTGGTCAGGTCCGATTCAGCATTGCTCCTGATTGGTTGTCAGAGTTGTATGTAATTTGTTCTGGACTTTTTCTGACCTTTGAATGAAAATGTGCCTCATAATCAGCTGCAAACAAGCAGACGAGGGATGTTAGGTTGGTGATGTAGGGAGCAGTTTGCCGTGGTTTTCCTGGAAATAAAGGACTCCTTCACATTACTGTCATAGTTGCACTACTGCACTGTTCATCACTTCCTGAGATTTTCATCACCTAGTCAACAGTCAGTGAAATTAATTAGCTACTGATTTTTAGCCTGGTCCAGTGGGAAGGTGGTGACTGGAGAGGGAGAACAGCTCAGCATGGCCACGTTTTCTCGTTCTTGCTCCCTATCAGAACATCGTCTCATGTGCAGAGGTTAACATCCAGAGGATGGCACGACAGCAATTTTCTGCTCATGCAGTGTTAAATACAGGTGTCATGGTAAGTATCATTCTGAAAGAAACTCCATGCCTTAATTAAGTCTCCTTTTACATCCCTCAAAATTGAGGGCTGTTATTTCATGTTCATATCTGTTGTGACCCCTATTAGCATAATGTAATACTGGAAGCTTGGCTGCACAAGAAATATGATTAAATGCCCACTCATGTCCCTTAATGTTCAGTTTTTCCATTTAGATATTTTTGTTCTCAGATAATAATTTTAAATCACTTTTATTGAATAAAATACCAATAGGTTACATGGACTGCCTTGGATGAGCATTGCATAATTAGAATATATTTTTTAATCTAATGCACATACAAATCAAGAATTTCCTCTTTCCTTGTGGTCTAAATGTGGTGTGAAACATAGATTACTTCCTCCTATGTAGTCCTTAAAATGAGGAATGACAATATTACAGACCAATCAAGACCATGTAAGTACAACTTACTCATAGTCGGAGCAATAATTCTATATTTTTTAACTAATGAACCATAAAAAGTTCAAGCCTGGATGAGGAGAAGTATTTATTTTGACACAATGCACAACTAGAAGGTGGAAAACTTGTTGGAGGGCACAGGCTCATAAACTCTTCAAAATACCAGGACATGTTAAAGGGAAAACTTGGTGATGTCGTAACAGGTTATGACTGGGACTCTCAGCAGAATGACAGGTTAGGCCCAACTTCTTCATTCAACCTCCTAAAGACACCAGATTTTTATACATCTTTATCAGGAATGTCAGTATTTATGGAGAGTAATTACAACCTGATATTAACTTTACCAACAGCACAAAACAATTCTGCTTTTGGAAATTACATCCTGCATTCATTTATGCTCTTGCTTATTGCTAAGTGGACAGCATTTGCATTGCTCTATACAGTCATTTCTCACAAAGCAAAATCCTTTAACGGCTTTTTCACAGTTATTTATTGCCATTGTTCCACAATACAGAAGAAGCACAAAAGCAGGCATTCGTGCACATTCACACATGCGCACAAGCAGAGATTTCGGTGGATTTCACAGGAAATCAGCTGGGGGCCCCAAAGTGAGAAGTTAAGATGTTGTTTTAGTAAATATTGCACGATGTTTCAGAAGGCTGTTCTCAAACACTGGTTCCAGAAAAACAACCCACACTTATGGCTCCTGCTCCCGTTTGTCCCAGTGGCAAACCGCCAAAATATCTCACCAAGCACACACTCGCACTCTGGAAGCTGTGAGAATCCCATCAGCTTCCTTTCCGTTTCACCGCTGCGCTTCTCCTGCCCATTATTATTGATGATCTTTTAAACCAAAGGAGGAGAAATGAACCTTTGATCTCCTCTCTTTGAACGTGAAGCGGCTTCCTCTCTCTCTATCCCTCTGTCTTTGCCTGTCTGCCCACTCAAACTGGCACACCGCATCACACTCGAGGTACCCTCGCAATCACTCACGTGTTTGCTAACTGCAGCCCCCGACTGACACGTTTGGCTGAGACATCAGCTCCATCGGATTGGTTTAACAGAATCTGCGGCAGATCCTCTTTGTAAATCCATAGTAATCAGTTAACGTGAGGATTTCACCGCCACTAAGCTGTGGCTCCTCCACCTCGCTTCGTCTTCAGTTAACATATTAATCACCTTTTCACCCTGCTACGTCTAGCACCTCCTTCGCCTCTGTTACAACTGCCACATTCCCTTCCTTTTTTCTATTGTATAAGATTTAAGCAAGAAAGCTTTCAATTACAAACGTGTAACATTGATTTTAATAGAAACTTGTCATACTTTACTGTTTCTCTCTCTCTGCCCTATCTTTGATAGTCTGATCTAGATTTTTATGCATTTTTTTTCTATAGAAGTGGTATTAGATTGACTAAAATGCTAGGCTTTCCCCCCACCTAGACTCTATAAAACTATCCAGGTCGGTGTTTAATGGCTGTGAATTTTCTTCAGCTCCAAAGAGAGGCGTTGTACTGAATAAAGCACTCCCTAAGGCGTTCGGCATTTGAGGAATACTAGCAGTTTAAATTGCTGAGTGCCTTTTCAGACACTCAGTGGAATAGCACCTCTTCATTTAGTTTTTAACTCTCAGGTGGAGATGTGCCTTTTCCCTGCCTACATTGCTATGCTGGATTTGGAGTGGTTAAACAAAAGTAGATAAAGCTGTTTGCAAAAAAAAAAAAAAAAGATGCATTCAATTTTTGAGCATTAGAATTTGACATTTAGAAGACAAAAACATGAGAAATCATTTCAGTTATAAAAAGATGCATCTTATTCATATTTTTTTAAATACATTCTTTTCCCAATTTTACAGGCTAAAAGCTTAAAAAAAAGACAAAACAGCCTACTTATTATTTTACAGAACAGACACTCAAATTTATTTATTTTCAATTATTCCACATTTATTTTTGATATTTGCATTTCCTGTATTCAGAGCCAGTTGCATTTAGCTCCTGGTGAAAGTGCATATAAAGTCTTTAAAATATATTCTTCAGAAAAAGATGTGAAATTGCATACATTTTCTCTACTGAATTAATGTATTCAAATTAATGAAGATTAGATTTCATGCCAATAAGCATAAAAGACACATAATTTACCACTTAAATAAAAATAAAGAAATGCAGGGAGTTTAGACTGCATTACTCACCTCATAAGCATGGCTGTAGTAAGTCCCTTCTTTTTCCACTATTCTGGAAAAACACAGTGTTGCTGAGTATTTGCTGCTCTATTGTACAGTGGAGTACTAGAAGCTAAATGTGAAGACCTGTACAACACTGCCCCCAGGGGCTCAGTTTAACACAGCACTCCACCTCTGCCCCTTCTTTTACAGTAGCTGGGTGAGTGGGTGGATGGAAAAACTACCAGACAGCTTG